TCTCATCTCTCCGTCAGACTTCACCATGTGGTCCAGTGCCAACTGCACCCAGAAGCATCACTTCATCTGCAAGTTCAATTTCACCCCCTCCCACTGAGCACAGCCCCTGGGCCCATGGGGGACCCCATGCTGGCAGTGCTCCTCCCTTGCCACCTCTGCACCTCTCCCCCTAACTCCTAAAAATACATCTATAAAAAAAGAAGCATGCAAGTGCTGTGTGAGCTTGGTGCTGGTGCAAGGCCATGGGCTGGTCCAGACAAAGGAGAGGTAGGCGCTGCTGCAGCTCCCCAAGCGTCCATCTTCTGAGGGCATCTGCGCTGCTGGTGCTGGTGGAGCCGTTTCGGTGTGAGTCTCCAGGAGCCGTGGGGCTGGTGGCTCTCCCAGCCAGGCATTCATGTTTGCTCATCCCCAGCCCTCTGGTGCCAAATGGGACAGGAGTCTCTGGCGTGCAGGTGCGGGGGACAGGAGTGTCCCCAGGATGCAGGCATGGAGGACACCTGGGGCACTGATGTGGGTGGGGATGGGAGCTGTCATGGGTGTGCAGGCGTAGGGATGGGTACCCCCCCTGGGGTGCAGACAGCTCCACAGGGGCCCAGGAGCTGCGATGCTGCCCCGTGGACATGTTGACAGCAGCACTGGGACCAAAGGTCCCTTCTTGTGTCACCGCCGTGTTGCCACAGGCATCACGTGGCTGTTTGCTCTGCTGTTTTGAAGATGGCTCTGCCCTCACTCAGCTCACGGGTTTTTCCTCCCCCCCGGAGCCACAGCACATGACGGAGGTGGGCCACAACCCGGGCAGCATGGATGGTGCTGGCACCAAAGCCCTGGCTGCCCTCTGCTCCCTCCCCAGGACCGCGGGGGCAGTCGGGGAGGCCACACAGCACCTCTCACACCGCGCTATGACCGCAGCCGTGCCGGAGAGCCGTGGTCACTGGAGCTGTTGCCACCCCACGGCATGGGGAGCTGGGGCTGCAGGAGAGCCCATCCCGCTCAGCCGCAGCTCCAGCTGGGTGCATCCCCAGGCTTTGGGGCACAAGAGAGAGACGTCTTGCAAGTTCCCCCCTCCAAAGCCAGCACTTGCTCCGCTGTCCCTGTCGCGTTGGCTGGCGCTTGGTGACCTTTGAGCGCCGGGGTCCGGCACGCTGATAAGGGCCGTGAGGGCTGTGCTGCGCCACCCGCGTAGTTTATAAAAGGACCGCGCAAGGTCCATCCCGCTGTCCGTCCCACCGTCCGACCCTCTGC